ACTTTTGGATAACTTTAAAGGCAATTTTCTCAATATTTAGATTTTTTTTGCACCCTCAGATTCCAGATTTTCAAATAGTTGTATCTCGGCCAAATGTCCTATCCTAACATACCATACATCAATGGAAAGCTTATTTATTCAGCTTTCAGATGATGTATAAATCTCAACTTCGAAAAATTGACACTTATGACTGGTTTTGTGGTCCAGGGTCACAATTCATATAATTTATATTATATAATTAATTATATAATGTATATAATCTAAAATTCATTAAATAACAAAATGCAGACTTCAGGACCCCACTGTAGGCTATTTGACACTTTGCCCTGGAGAGAAAAAAGAAAGAATACCACATACACAAACTACATACACAGATAATATTTAAATCTATCCCATTTTTTTTCCTCACTACCCACTCACATTTCTTGTGTAACCAAACCAGATTGTGAGAGTGTTAGTGTGTGTTAAGAGGTTTCAGTCGGTTCCTCAGGCTGTAGATGACTTCAGTGAAATGTGTTTACAGATTTGAGAGACAGAGTCAATTTCAGATGGCTTAAACCATACTGACCCGACCGTGACTGACGCCACACCGTGGCCTCTGGCAACGCAATAGAGTTATGGGATGTCCGACTGGATTATCGAGAGAGCAGGGGGAGTAGCATTTTTTCTCTCCATTGCAAAACGCATGAATGCAAACACAATTGCTCTGTTCTGAAACATAGTGAGCAAACTAGTAGGTAGTATTTTAAATCATCATGGCATTATAGTAACCAGGTAAGTGGAAAATGTACAAATGTAAATAAATAAATAAATAAATATAAAATGTAGAAAAGTGCAAAATGGTTTAAAATAAATAAAAATATTACATAAAAATGTTTTATAATATACACTTGATTACATAAGATAATTATTTTATTTTCTTGCCTGTATTAAATACGGAATGACAGAATGCCTGCCTAAGTAGTGTTTTCCCAAATCAGCCACTTATAAGGTTCCATTCTAGTTTATTTGTAGACAGCATGACTCACTGGGTTTCGGAACAGAGCTGTTGACTTTTATGTTTCAGTCTGGCTTGTGGAGGTCATAAAAGATGATGTGTGTGCATGGAGGAGAAGGGTGTTTCTGGTCAGTAAGCGTGTTGTATGAGAGGTGTGGCTGTAAACGTGATGTGTGTAAAAGTGATCTAAACCACACACAGACTAGTGTGTGTCTCCATCTCCGATGCTTTTGCCATTTAAGCACCTCTCTAAGAAGGCAAACACACAGTTTCCTTTGTCTAAGAGTCTGTGCGAGAGTTTCCTTTTGTTTATTTGGTGAAGACCAAGTATCTGAGCTTCCTCTCTGAGAATGAGGCAAACAAACTCCAGTGAGCTGACAGACAGCTCTGAGCACAGGCATACACATTAATGATGTTTTCAGACTCAATAATGCAAACTTGAAAATAATCCTTCAGAAAAAAAAAACAAAAAAAAAACAGAGTATCTCATTTCTCACTCTATGGCGTGTGTGATGTTGGCGTCAATGTGCCACCAGTTCTGTGTTTGCTCTGCTAATCCTTTTCAAAGGTCAAAGGTCACCGGGAGGTCACCGCCTGCATTTGCTGCATTGCAAAACAAGGTGATGGAAAAAAAAAAAAAACCTTTGACAAACAGCTCTCATTACTCAACTCCTCTTTTACCCATCTGTCCTTCCCTCATCCTCCCTCTCTCATGCTCTCCCACACATTTTCAATTTCGCCATACCGCAAAATCTCATCACCTCATCCACCTCTCCGCTGTTTCTCATTCATTTCTCTTTTCTCTCTCACTCTGTTGACAGGCATTAAGGCATTAACTGACACTCAATCCACAGGTTGGTCCAATAGAATTCCTCTTTTCCACTCACAGTTAAATCCTGGGCTTTAGATCACTTGCCAGCTGCCACTATCCATTCTTCTTTTTTCTTCATGCATCATCCCTCGCTCTCTGCTCATGTGTCCATTTATTTTGCGCTCCCCTACTGATTTTTCATTAAAGAGATGGCTACAAATGGAAAATAAGTGAAACTGAGAGATTACGGAGGAAAAGTGGTGAAAAGTTCATCACAAAAGGCTGAAGTTAAAGCAAGGTAGAAAGTATGTGTGTTTTATACAAAAAAAATAATTCTCTCATGGTTTACTCACACTAATGTATTTCCAAACATGTATGACTTTCTATGGAATATAAAAAGAGTCATTTGGAAAAATCTGTACATATATATTTTCCATACAACAACAGGTCATAGTCATCACTTTCAGTCTTTTAGAAACACACACACACAAGTAATAGTCCACATACTATATCAAGTCTTCTGAAGTTATACAATTGTTTTGTGTTAGGAAAATACAAAAATGTAACACTTAACACTTCCTGAGGCTATAAAATATTTAAATGGGAAATACTGTAATTTAATTCACTCAATGTAAATTATTTATTTATTTACTTATTTGTGATTGGCTACCTTATTCTCATGTGAAATGCATATTCCCATCTGGAGTTGCTAAATTACATTTGCTATTGAATTGTTGGTGATCAGATTGTTGTGACGCTATAACCAGGAAGGTTTCTGAGCTTTTTTTGGTGTTGAGTACTGTAGAGGACATTTAATGAGTATTTCATACTCTTTTATATTGAACGAGAAAAAAAAGAAAAAAAAAAAGGTTTTCCAAGATATGGTCCCCTTAAGTTCAAGTAAACCCAAGGACAGACAAAAGCATTTGTGCCTTAATATGCTGCCTAGGGCTTTGTTGGTGTCTAAGGCATCATTCTTAAATCACTTGAACACTTTTTCTTCTCTATCACCAGACAGCACAAACACATTTCATATTTAAATGTTTTTGTTCAGCGGGAACAAAAGTGGTATATATCATTGTTTATGTGAGAAAGAGATGATTAGCCATCCAGTCAGTGTTTTGAGGGGACTACAGCACACTGAAGAGAGGAGGACAGACACTTTATTAGCTACTCTTCTGTACAGATGGTGTAGCGCAGGCAAGTCAGGCCCTATGGGACCAAAACCTGGGGCTTGATTAAGCACCAGCCCCAGCGAGGGTGCACATGAGTACGGGGCCACCTGGAGGAGCTTCCCCTGGAGGACTGCACTCCTAACCCTGCCCTCCCTCCGCCTCTGTCAGGAGACGCCAAGGACACGAGCGAGAGAATGCTGAACAAAGCAAATCGTGTTGCATCATATAAACAAATCATTTTAAAAACAGTTTGAGCAGGGCGGAGAGGTGAAACTAAATAAATAGCTTTCCTCACTATCGCTTAATAAAATGTTAATCTGTTTGACCCTGAAACTTCCACTTACTGCCTGCCGCCCGGGTCAAACAGGAGGAGGGAGTCGCTCATGATTAAACCTGGAGAATATGTCTGAGAAAACAGAGGAGCACTGAAAACATTCCAGAGGAAACGAGACTAGACGAGAGGTACAGTGCCTTTCAGAGTCAAAACACCTAGTCAAAACTGCCAAAATTGTGTCAGGAATGAGTTATGGCCAAAATCAGATCTCTTAGGCCCCATTTACACCTGGACCACGTTCAAAAATGTGGTACAAATACACCCAAGACACAACGTGATTGAATCAGTAAGAATACATTTGGAGCTGATCTGAATTCCGAGTGCATTTAATAAAGGTTTAAATACAAATTTGGTTTTGTTATCCGCACTCAACTACATAAGTAATATTTAATGTGATTATGCTGCACATAATCATTTAAATCAAGTTTGACGGACTGAGTCTTTAACACGCTGTATTTCCTGGCTTTCTTTTACTCTGATCAAGCAATATGAAACAGAAAAAAGAAAAAAAACACTGCACTCTTAAGATTTGCTCACCCGATTAATCAACAATATTTGATTACATATCAAATTATTTCATTAGATTAAACACAATCTAATTTCTGTCATTTCTTCAAATTGAGCACTTTCTAAAACTTTATCCCCCCTTTTCATCACTTCTAATTAATCTAATTCATCTATTTAGAGGGATTTGTAAATGCAAAGAAAGACAGTTTTAACACCTAGTAAATGACAAATATGTTTCACTGAACACAACCAATCCATGTAATATGTAAATGCCACTTTGCATTTTGTGCAAGTACACTACCTTTCTAAAGTTGAGGGTCAGTAAGATTTTTTTTCTTTATGTTTTTGAGTCTCTTATCCTCATCAAGCCTGCTTTTATTTAATCCAAAATACAGTAAAAACTGTAAAATTGTGAATTATTATTACAATTTAAAATAACAGTTTTTTTTAATATATTTTTTATTTTTTATATTTTATAAATTATACATATATTTTAGAATGCTTTTTTTCAGCAGCCATTACTCAAGTCTTTTGTGTCACATGTTCCTTTAAATCATTCTAATATGCTGATTTGGTGCTCAAGAACATTTGTATTATTATTGATGTAGAAAACAGTTGTACTACTTAATATCCTAAAACCACGATAGAGTATGTACATTTTTTTCAGTATAATAGTAATATAATATGTGACCCTGGACCAAAAAAACAGTCTTAAGTCGCTGGGGTATATTTGTAGCAATAGCCAAAAATACATTGTATGGGTCAAAATTATTGATTTTTCTTTTATGCCAAAAATCATTAGGACATTAAGTAAAGATCATGTTCCATGAAGATATTTTGTAAATTCCCTACTGTAAATATATCAAAACTTAATTTTTGATTAGTAATATGCATTGCTAAGAACTTCATTTGGACAACTTTAAAGGCAATTTTCTCAATATTTGTAATTTTTTGCACCCTCAGATTCCAGATTTTCAAATAGTTATATAATAGTAGTATATGTATGGTAATGCTATATGTTTACATAAAGGATGTTTTTAAATAATTAAAAACAGATATACTGTTATTTAGTCATGAATAGTTAGAATAAATAAATATTTGTCAAGAATCATGTTCTGACAACTGAACTACAGTAATTCCCTGATTCATACAGCCCTGTTCCCAGCATCTCACCACAGGAATGCACAGATAAGCATTGTAAATAAACATCTGTCCTCCTCCTCTCTTCCTACTCTCTCGTTTTCAATCTGTCCATCTAACAGCCCATTCCTCCCACTGCTCCTTCAATAACTATCTCTCTAGTTCGCTCCTAAAGGGTCGTCGGTGCATTAGATTACGGATAAATCACCCATCTACCTCTGCAAAATCTTCAAATGAATACAGGTGCTGCCCACACCTGAAAGGAGGTTTTTCCTTTAATCTCTTATTCTCTCCCTCGCCTCGCCATCATTTTTAGGAGAGAGAGCAATCTTGCTTATTGCATTATTTACAAACCAATTTAACGGCGTTCTGCCCTGTGAATAACCATTCGCATCCGCCCCTGTAGGACAGATATTGCTAAGAAAGAAGGGGAGGAACTGGGAAGAGAAAGGAGGAAGTAAGCAGACGTGGAGAAGTTGTGGTTTGAAATTAATCACTCGATTACAGCTTTGAGCATATGGTGCCCCATCATCACCCAAGATGACGCTAATAAAATGAAGGCGGATGCAACTGACTTGCTGGCATAGATGCGGAGCCAAATCGTCTCTGATAAGCACCTGTCCTGCCGTTAAGTCCGAATAAAGAGGTTCGTTAATGATGTATAACGAATTCACTGAATGTGCCGTGGAGACACAATGCTCTCGGCTCTGCCTCTGAAGTAGGTGAAAAAAATATTTTGAAAATAGTTTTGCGCTTGACAGCTATTTGGTGGATAAATTGTTTCCCATACGAGTGTTTTCTCTCAGACAAATTGTTTGTTAATTAAAAAGAAGTATGTGTATGTGTGTGCGCGTGAATGCCAGCGGGGAGTTAAAAAGACCCAGAGATTGTGTGTTTTCCTGTCAATGGGGGTTTTGAGAACATTAAAAGACAAAAGAGCAAACAATTGCTGAGACCAGCAGAAAGTCAGACTGTGTGTGAGAAAGCAGCATCCACAGTATGCTTTAATTTTAAGTTTTTTTTTTGTTTTGTTTTTTGTCCATACAATTATTTAGTAGAGTCCAGTGTTATTTTAGATCCTACTGACTTTCACTGTACAGACAAAATATATGTTATGTTCTGCACAACAAGAGAGGCATATAGGTTTTAACATAACACAAGGGTAAGTAAACGATGACAGTTTCTTATGTCCTTCATGACTTTCAAGTTATTGTGAGATACTTGTATATTTACTTCCAATTTGTTCTAAATTTCTGTGAGGCCCACTGCTGAAGAAACAGTATACTCAAAAAATAAATAAATAAAATAATAAAATATATATAATAAAAACTTTATTTTATATAGCGCCTTTAAAAGTAGCATCTCAAAGTAGAGGTCTGCGCGGGACTGTTTTTTAGTCCCGCACCCGCAAGGTTCTATTCCGCACCTATCCGCTCCCACTATATATTCACTCTTTGTTCACCCGCTGTCCGCTTAGAATAATTTTCTTCCCGACCCGACCGTTCCCACTAAATTTAGATCTCGTTTCCAGAATCTCACATTTAAATTTCCGCTACTGAAAGAAAGAGAGATAGGCTGACAAATCAAAGTGTATTCTGCACAAAATGGTATGTTATTTTATTCGTCTTGTCAAGAATCTTGAATTTATTGACTTTGACTTGAATTTATATGAATTATCTTAAGACACAAAATTAGTTTAATATTTTATGCAACGCAGTAGGAAAAATAGTGTCAGAGAAAATACAAATGTTGTACAAAAATTGTATTTCTTATTTTTATTCATCTTGTCAGGATACAATTCGTTTAACATTGACAACACAATAGGAAAAAAGTGTCGCAGAGAGAAAAAAAATAAAAATGTAGGTTGTACAAAAATAGCCTATTAGCTATTTTTATTCGTCTTGTCAAAATACTAAATTCGTTTGACATTTTTCTGTTAACAGTAGGAAAAGTGTCGCAGAGAAAAATAAATAAATACGACATCTTTCATTTAAAATTATAGGCTAAGCAAAATATAAACAAAACCGAGTTGAACGTCCTTCAAGGACAGCGCATCCACACTTTGCTCCATCCTTATTCTGCTCTGTCACTCATCGACAACCTGCCTGTTCTGTCTGAGGGCCGTATATTTACCACAGGTACAGCCTGCTCTGAGCATCGTTATGCACATGCTGCGCACAGACCATGCAAATAAAACGCGTGACGTTAAAGCATGCGTGCAGCGTGTGCATAACAGTCCTGAGCGCAAGCTGTACCCTACCGGTGCGGTCAATAAGAATAAAGTGCAGATATGCTGTTCTAAATGGACGTTGCGAACGGGATATTGTTAGACCGCCCGCTACCGTTCAAATTACACCAGAGTTACCGACCGCTACCGCAGGGGATGTCAAGTTGTATATATGCATAAAATAAGTCTTTATGACTCATACACTGTATTCAGGTCTTAAAAGCCACACAAGCTTTGTGTGAGGAACAGATTGAAATGTAAGTCTTCTTTTCCATAATAATAATAAACTTTATTTTATATAGCACCTTTAAAAGTAGCATTTCATAGTGCTTTACATACATATCAAAATATGAAGTTAAAAGATACACACAACAGTACAGGCAGTAAAGAACTAACCAAATAATACAAAGCCAATATAATAAAAGCCAAAGTAATCACATAAATCACATAAAAGCTACCCTAAAAAAGTACGTTTTAAGAGACGATTTAAAAACACAAAGGGATTCTGCATTCCTAATCTCAGAGGGCAGGGAATTCCACAATTTAGGAGCCAAAGAAGAGAAAGCCCGATCACCCATGGTTTTTAGCAGAGTTGTTTGAACAGTTAAAAGACCAGCATCAGAAGAGCATAGAACAGGTGTAGTGGTGTAGGTTTAAAACAAATTGGAATAGTGTATTTCATTTTGTGTAACTTATTTCAAAAAGTGAAACTTTCATATATTCTAGATTTTATGCTTCCATCTGCTGACAAGCTTTATGGAGATGCTGATTTCCATTTCCAGCAGGACTTTAGCACCTGCCCACAGTGCCAAAACCACTTCCAAGTGGTTTGCTGACCATGATATTACTGTGCTTAACTGCCCAGCCAACATGCCTGACCTGAACCCCATATGGAATCTATAGGATATTTTCAAGAGAAAGATGAGAAACAGTCGATCCAACAATACAGACGAGCTGAAGACTCAATAGTGCCTCAGCAGTGCCACAGGCTGATCGCTTCCATGCCACACCTCACTGATGCTGGAGTTTGTGCTAACCAAGCCCCGACCAAGTATTGAGTGCATAAATGAACATACTTTAAAGAACTTGAACTTTTCTGTTTTGCATCCTTTTTTTATTGATCTTAGGAAATATTCTAATATTTTGAGATACTGGATTTTTGACTTTCATGAGCTGCTATCATCATCAAAATTAAAACAAAAACTTTTGAAATGTTTTACTTTGCATGTAATGAATCTAGAATATATGAAAGTTTAACTTTTTTTGATCAAACAAAAAGTAAAAACAGTAATATTGTCAACTATTATTAGTTAACTTTTATATTTGAATATATTTAATATATTTTAAAATGGAAATTTAAAAAGCATCAGTCATCGGCCATTGCATCATTCTTCAGTGTCACATGATCCTTCAGAAATCATTCTAATATGAGATTTAGTGCTCAATGACAGGCTTTGCAGGGTTCTTAAATTAATAGAAAGTTCAAAAGAAGAGCATTTGTTAGAAACAGATTTTTGTTGCTGTTGTTGTTGTTGTAACATTATTTTGCAACATTATATGTCTTAACTGTTCCTTTAGATCAATTTAACACTTTCTTGCTGAACAAAAGCATTATTACCAAACTTTTGAACAGCAGAACAGACTTGTTTGAGTAATCTAGGTGGACTAAAAACACATTGGCCTTTATATGGCCCCGCACCTGGATATGACAATTGCATATCTTCTTGGAACTGGCTAAATATGTCCAAACAAGCCTATGATTCATACTGTACAAGCAGGGCTTATGGTATTGCTGTCATTATCATTACATTGCTACATGAACTTCATTGAATTCATTACAACATTTGCCATTTCAGAAATCACACAGATGATCTACAATTTAAGTACAACAGGTGGCATAACAATTATTGTCAGTTAAAACTTTATTCACATCCATTTGTGAAAGGTATTTCAAGAAGATAAGAATCCTGACAGGTTACACAAAGGTTGCAGTTTGATCCCAGTGATCCCAGAGATCAAATTCCTTCCTGCCATCATTTTACCCTTAGGGCAAAGCTTTCCAGACACATTTTAGGCCTAGTCCCAATCTAATAACTATTTTGAACCATGAATCATTACTTAGAGCACAAGATTAGCCTGTCCAGGAAATGACGCTATATCCACTTGCTAAATAGTCTGAGCATGAAGAGCAAAAATCATACTGGAGAATGAATTAAAGTGGAATCAGCTGAAAGATCAGTGGTTAGAATAGTGTATATTGAAGACTGGACAGGCTCTGGTAACTTATTACATTCAAATATATGATTCACTACTTCATAATGACAAATGATGAAATTACTAACGATTTTCCTGATAACAGTATTCTTTATGAAAACGACAGCAGCAGCACTAGGAACAATATAAGCTCTGAATGACTTTGGGCTTTACTGTAATAACATTTTACCCAGAAAAAGTACAATATATTGTACATTATTTACTATAGCACAATATATTTAATGAGATATTAACTTAATATCACACTATCGCTACCTGTAAAACATCCAATATGTGCATGTCAAATTTCTGGTACAAATGACAAGTCTCATTTTGATTGATCTCTCATTCCATCTCTTCTAAATAAAGACACACACATATACGCATTACCCCACAGCAGAATTAATGGTTTGATAAGCCCCTATAATACATGAGAGACCTCTAAAGCAGTGTGACCGATCTGCAGTGCAGCAGCACGAAAGCCCTTCTATCTTGAAAGCAGGCCAGCGGAAACTGCCAGCCTCTGAGCCAAGATGGCCGCTAGTGCTGGTTTCTAGCCACTAGGAAGCGCCCAGAGGCCCTACTTCCTCTGGCGCCAGCCAATCTGAATCCACTCGTATTTGTTTTGCAGCGGTCTCACGGCCCCCGTTTGTGTATCGTTTCCCATTTGCAGCCTCTCTAAACAAGCATGACCCGCGTTATAACTGCCCCCTTCAGAAAAGAAGGGAATTAACCAAAGTAATTCAAACCAGCATTTTGCAGCGTTTGGGAAGAATTTAGTGTATTAATGAAAGCATTTCGACTTAGGTGTACCCCAAGGAGTGAGAGCGGGAAAAAACAGAGAAAGAAATAATAGAGAGAGGTCTGGATTGAGTTAGAATCTGAGGTTGATTTGAGTCGATAGCGGTCAAAGCACAAAGCGAAGGATTCACTTTTAGTCGGTTCTCTACAGGAGGGCACATAACTCAGAGCCCTACAGACTAAACAAACAGCATGCATCCACCCAACACTCACAGCTACAGCGCAACCATTCTCACAGTCACAATACTGCCATGAAAACTATTCAGGGCTACTTAAGACAAACACTGCTGCACCATTACTACACAGTGTACTACTAAAATTACTGTGCATTTTTGTACAATGGAACTAAAGGCCCTTCTAAAAAACACTTAATAGCAACCACAGCAAAACTGTCCTGATCTATAAGGTCATCACAAAAGACTTAAAGGGTTAGTTCACCCAAAAATGAAAATTCTGTCATTAGTTACTCACCCTCATGTCGTTCCAAATCCGTAAGACCTTCGTTCATCTTCGGAACACAAATTAAGAAATTTTTGATGGAATCTGAGAGCTCTCTGAAACTCTTCAGCTACTTTCCTGCTGAAGCTCTCGGGAAGAACAGCTGAATAAATTATGTTATTATTGTTTTCTTTGCGCACAAAAAGTATTCTCGTAGCTTTGTAAAATTGCAGTTGAACCCCTAATGTCACATGGACTATTTTACCGATGTCCTTGCTACGTTTCTGTGTGTTGATCGTGGTAATATCATTGCTGTCTATGGAGGGTCAGAGATCTCTCAGATTCCATCAAAAACATCTTAATTTGAGAAAAAATTGTTGCAAAACTTATTATATACTTAAATGTTTTGAATAAGGATGTAAATAGATTTTTTACTTTAAAAAAAAATGGCAAATGTAAATGAACTTTTCAATAAAAAAAATAATAAAACATATGATGATGATAATAAGAAATGTTTTTTTGAACACCAATTGTATTATTGTATTTTTGATCAAATAAATGCAGCATTGGTTTGCATAAGAATAAAATACTTATTTAATTACAAAAATCTTTAAAAAAAAATGGTAATACATAAACACCCTTATTCAAAATACCCAAATACATAATTACATTTATGCATCATTGCATATTATAAAAAAATAGCTTTTCCACAACATTTTCTAAAACTGGGACTTTTAGCCCTAATGCATTTCACTCTTTTATTCTACATAATTTCCAACAGAGAACCAAAGTGAAGCATTACACCGTATGTGTGGCTCACATGCTGCTGCAGAGCTTAACATTTTGAAATCCCAAAGGCCGTCACGGGCGTTAACAGATTCCTGTATGTAGATGAACCTTTTCATGAACAGGTTGACTCCTGCGTACAATTTTCAATTAAAACAGACTGCAATGAAATCCAAATTGAGACTTGTTTCATCAACACCTTTTGATGTGTTTGTGTGATTGCGTTTAAACTGAATTAGAAAGCGTGAGATGAGGAGATGATCGTGGCCGTGTTTAGCATGTTGAAGGTGAGAGGAATCAGATGGTGTGAAGGAGAGAGATAGCGAGATCAAAGGGAGGTGCAGAAAATACCTCAGTCTCACCTCCTTACGCGGCCCTCTCCTCACCGACAGAGTCTGTTCAGTATCTTTTCGTGAAAGGCTGATAATTTAGGTCTGCGGAAAGTAGAAGTAGAGTAAAATAAAGTTTGCAAAAAAAAAAAAAAAGCTTTAACACACAAATGAACAAATCTATCAATCATAAAATATAAAAACATCACTTTATATTATTCCATTAATTAGACTGCATTCAGACTAAACATATCGCATTAGTGCTGTTGTATTTGCGGAGTTGATTGAATGCGAATAATTTCCCGAAAGGTGTCCAAATCCATCCATAAAAAAATAAAACAAGAAAGCAATCCAAGCCAAATTTACATAGAGACAAAAAAAAAATGTCAGTACTTCGCCAAATTTTTACTTTGAAAAAAGTTACCTGTGAATTTGTTTTTATTTAAAGGTTTTCAATCAGAAATGTATTCAAATGAACCGTATAAACATGCCAATTTGCTAAAAGTAGTAATAGTAAGCTACTTTACTCTTTTTCCTGTTTGTTTTTATCATTGCTTTTTTAAATTATTTTTCTTTTTCCGAGTAGAGTTTGGGTTAGTCTGTAGTAATCATAATTATCCTTACATAAAACATCTGAAGTCTATGCTCATTTAAAGGGATAAATGTGTGTGCAAATAATTTCCCCCTCACATTCCTCTTCCGTTCACCCTTGGGCAATGGAGACCAGATTTTCCTATAAAAGCTTGTACACAGCCTTGGAAGACAATGTCGCCAAGATATAAATGATCAAGTAATGTGTGGAGAAGCGTCAGAAATGCTGACATAAAGCATTTAACAGCCGTGATGGGACATTTCTTTGATGTCCCTCCAACTAGTGTCATTTTTACAATTGAGATCATAAGAAGCAAGTAAGTTATGGGTGGGCAGCAGCTGGATCAGAGAGTGTGTGTGTGTGTGTGTGTGTGTGTGTGTGTTTGTGTTTGTGCTTGCTCCTTTGAAATGCAGAGGGCTGAAGGACATTTAAACTCCAATTACAGAGTGCCAGAACAGGTCTATTTTACCCTGTATGACAGCCAGATCAATTACCTCATTAATACACACACACACACACACACACAGAGGTCTGTCCACGTAAGAAACAAGAAAAAGATCAAGGCTAAAAAATGTCATTATGCTCAGTAGTTTCACTACTTCATCAATGCATAAGCAACATCAAAGCAAATGTTCTTTTAATGAAAAGGCCTCACATAATAAGGAAAAAGTCACTAAAATAAGATCTCGGAATATTAAAAAAATACTAAACACTTAAATAGGATTATAAAATTGATATAAAAATATATTAAATGTATAAACATTTATTTAATATACTTGAAGTAAGATGGAAGTGTTAATGCATCCATTTGTTAATATTACATGAAAGTGAACTTGCCAACTCTGTGCGTTATTTATTTTAACTCTTTGTATAATTTCTTCTTTATAATGTCTTGTGATCATAAGCCTCTACTGGATAAACATTTTTAACCTTTTTACACATTTTTCCTTTGAACTCCTTGAAACACAATTGTATGCAGATCAAACAAACAAATAAATGAACAGTAAATAAATATAAAAGACAAAAAATGATTCATTTTAAACTCCGGCCTCTTCTTGGGCGTTCTAGAGGAAGGTTCTGTTTATTTGTGTTTGGCTACTCCAGGATGCTCAAGTCTTGTGTGGGATCCACTTGATTGATGCACTTATTTGGTGACTAAATACACAGTTTTCCAAGGTGAGCACAGAGCCATGTGTCAGCTTTGAAAAACAAGAGCCGGTTTCTCTGCTATACACAATTTGTTTGAATAATCCCATTAAACCAGCATAATTCAGAAGGACTCTGGAGTTACTAGCGTCATAGTCACAACCTGGATTAAAAATGTTATTACTCCCAAAATATATCTATTTTTTTAACAGGGCACCAATTTTTCAGCTCCAAGTGGCAGCAGAGAACTCCAAAGTGGAAAGAAAAGTTTTGCACTCAGTCTTACTCCACCTTACCAACCTCAGATGAACTTGTGCAATTTTTTTTTTTTTGTGTGTGTGGACCATGTGTGGTCCTAGTATTTTTCTCTACTCATAAAACGGGTTATATCCTGCCAAAAATATTGGTCAATGCAATTAAACACAATAAAGATAATTGCACAATGTGTGTGTGTGTGTGTGTGTGTGTGTGTGTGTTTGTGTTTGTGCTTGCTCCTTTGAAATGCAGAGGGCTGAAGGACATTTAAACTCCAATTACAGAGTGCCAGAACAGGTCTATTTTACCCTGTATGACAGCCAGATCAATTACCTCATTAATACACACACACACACACACACACAGAGGTCTGTCCACGTAAGAAACAAGAAAAAGATCAAGGCTAAAAAATGTCATTATGCTCAGTAGTTTCACTACTTCATCAATGCATAAGCAACATCAAAGCAAATGTTCTTTTAATGAAAAGGCCTCACATAATAAGGAAAAAGTCACTAAAATAAGATCTAAAAATATTAAACTCAATACTAAAAACATTACACATTACAAATGATTATAACATTGATTGAAAATTATATAAACTGTATATACTTTTATTTAATAAACGAAGTAAGATGGAAGTGGTAATGCATCTATTTATTAATTATATAAAATGAACTTGTCATCTGTGTGTGTGTGTGTGTTTAATTTGTTATATAATTTCTATGATGTTTTTTTATCACAGACCTCCTGGATAAACTTTTTACACATTTTTCATTTGAACCCCCGAAACACAATTGTATGCAAATAAAGGAACAATAAATAACATTTAAGAGACAAAAAAAAAAAGGTTTATTTATAACTCCAGCCTCTTCTTGTGCGTTCTAGAGGAAGGTTCTGTTTATTTGTGTGAAGTGTGAAGGTCCAGGATGCTCAAGTCTTGTGCGGGATCCACTTGATTGATGCACATATTTGGTGACTAAATACACATCAGTTTTCAGAGGTGAGCACAGAAACATGCGTCAGCTTTGAAAAATAAGAGGCTGTTTCTCTGATATAAACAATTTGTTTGAACAATCCCGTTAAACCAGCAGAATTCAGAAGAGTGTGGAATGGTACACAGTCACTAGCGTCATAGTCACAACAGGGGTAAGGAATGTTATTACTTCCAAAATATATAAACTTTTTTTTCAGCCCCAAGTGGCAGCAGAGAATTCCAAAGTGAAAAGAAAAGGTTTGCGCATGCAGTCTCACTACACTTTACCAACCTCAGATGAACTCATGCTGCTTTCTCTCTCTTTTTTTCTTTAATACATGTGTGGTCCTGGTATTTTTCTCTACTCATAAAACAGGTTTATATCCTGCCAAAAATATTGGTCAATGCAATTAAACACAATAAAGATAATTGCACAATTGTGTTACAAAGGATTCAAAGGAAAAATGTGTAAATGTGTTTTCAGTGGAGGTTTATGCTCATGAGAGACAAAAAAAAATTATAAAAAGAGAAACAGAAGAAAACACATTCAGATGGAAAGCACACTTTTATTTAACATTAAATGAATGCATTAGCAATCCATCACAATTTATTGCCTTCCAACAAAAACAGTACCTATGTTTTATTTACTGTACATATATTTAAAGTAATATAAGTTCATATAAGTTCAAAATACCGAATAATACAAAGTGAAATGCAACTTTGAACATCTAGTTAAAAGCTACAGTCTGCTTTTCCTCTCTTCTACTGTTCATCAGAACTTAAACTGATTGTACCAGAAGCTCTGCAATATGAAACAGATGGCACTATTAGAGCATTATCATATTTCTAAATGAAAAAGAAGAGCAGGGTTATTGGAGGGGCTCTGTCTGGCTTTGGCTGAGTTAGAACTGTTGATTGCAGTGATAACAGGACAGAGAATAGAGCGGAGCTTGCAAAGAAAACCGCAAGCCTGTGCCAGCGTACTGTTGCTTTCCTGAGAAACCTCATTTCTCATTTTTGGGCAAATTATTTTGTATTTATTTTTCTATTTTGCATTTTACTGGTGTCCAAAAACCTACGTATGAAACGTTACATCAAACACTTCATTCAGAGCCTGCCAAAATTACAGTACAATGTCCTTTTTGTGTTTCCATTCATATTTTAAGCAGACAATTTTCTTTATATAATAATCAAACTTGCTTATTGTAGTTATAACTGAATTTTCAGCAGCCATTATTACTCCAGTCTTCAGTGTCACATGATCCTTCAAAAATAACTCTAATATGATGATATCATGTGGAAATTGTGATATTTTATAATGAATAGAAACTTCAAAAGAAAAGCATTTATTTGAAATAATTGTTTGTAATATTGTGTCTTTACTGTAATTTTTATCAATTGAATGCATCCTTGCACTTTTTTTCCAAATTAAACATAAAAAATTATATCAAAATGATATAGATTATTCTCAGAGCTTGAACTTTACAGATGTCACATACTCTCAAATAATTAATTATGATCCAAAATAATATCAAAATTAACTTTGTGAAGTTTGACTGCAGAGTTGCCAGCTGAAAGCCATGTGTTATGCAGTTGTAGCACTGCATTCAGATCACAATTAACTAGTATTTAGTTTGGGCAAGCAACACAACTGACATTAAACAACAGCTGGCTCGACTGTAAACAAACAACATTTGTCTTCGTTTGCAACTTTACAGCTACTCGTATGCTGATTTCTCATAAGAGCTTTGCTGCTGGTGATCATGCTGAGATGGAATTGCATCATGAGGCGACATTCTCTTCATAATGAACAGATTTGGATTAATATCAGCCTTTGAGAGATGGCACATCTAAATGTCAGAGCCAAATTACCGGTTGCTAACAGATGTGTACTGTCCGAAGTGAGCCCAGAGGTTTGTTGATGACACTGCAGTAATAAAGACTATGCATTTTAATTCCTATGTATTGTAAATTCTAAAGCAAAACAGTTTAAGGTGATTGCTATGCAGCTGATAAGGTGTTTTGAATCCCAAGATTCATTGATAACTTGGACAGATGTTGACTCCATACGAGTCTATTAAACTTTTCGTTTTTTCATCCATCATGCGAAATTGTGTAAATGCCTATTAAAGTTACAGC